GTATGCAGGGCCGGATTTACCTACATGCCGCCTGTATTTTTCCGCCCCCTTCCTATTTGTTTTGAAACATCAATAGATCTTATTCGACAGTGGTTCGATGTATGTTTTGGTTCAATACAATAGAACATAACCTCAAACAAAAATTTTAGGATTTAATTTGGAAAAGCTGAAGATGAGATAACATTCCTAACAATTTCACTTTTCATCGCCATTTGGTACTCGAGAGAATAAAAATTCGATCACATAAGACCCGTTACCTCAGATTTCTAAATTAACTTTTGAGGCTTTGGTTACAAATTTAACCAATCGATATCAATATAATCTCACCTGTGTGATCTGTCGAGTACGATCTATAAAAACTATCAAGTGAACGTGCCGGTGGGGGAGGGGTGTATAAGACGCGTTTTCTCGTGTTGGGCACATTTTTTTGTAAAAACCCTGTCATGAACACTAATAAAAGTTCAGTTCCGTAAACCCATCCCTGTTTGGATAAGGCCTTCCATTTATAAAAAAGCACGAAAAAATTATGAAAGAACAAACGTAAATGTGGTTAACAATTTTAACTTCCACCGCCGCGCCGATCGCACTGTGTTGGCGCAGTGCGTGAGGTATTCATGCAGTCTTGTAGGCGCTATGCGTTTCACGCCGATGCGATCGCTGCTGACCACACTGTTCGGCGCAATGCGTGAAGTATTCATGTAGTCTTGTAGGCGCTATGCGTTTCACGCCGACTGCTGCTGACCGCAGTGTGTTTGACGCAATGCGTGAAGTATTCATGCAGTCTTGTAGGCGCTATGTGTTACTTGCCGACCGCCGCGCCGCTCCGTTCCAGGTCAAATTGCGTGTTTGGTTTCTCTCATAACTCGACTAATTAAAGGTAGTAAAGGTAATAAAGTAAAGGTCTCTTAGTATCACCGAAAGACGACAAAATTAGAAATTACTATACTTTTTCTCTCAGGAAATGAGAGATTTTGTCGCATTTTCTCGTTTGTACTTCATATTCTGAATCCGATTGTTTTCTCTAATTTTTTGATACCTACCTACATTCAAAAATATTGCAAAATTTGCCACCCCCTAAATTTTGCCGCCATGGGCCGCGGCCCGTGTGGCCACCCCCTTAATCCGGCCCTGGTAGCATGTGTTTTGCTCTTTCGAGCAACTTTGCTCTTTAACTTAGGTTACACCGTAACATTGGAACCAACTTCAATATGCACAGGTTTTTAGCATTTTTTTGCTTGTTTCCCTATGCTTGACAGTATGTTACGTGTTCCTCGCAAAATATTTCCTCTTATTATGTACTTAAATCGCAAATCCCCTTTTTGGGCTCCAACGTACAGATAAAAAAAAATCAGCATTGGAGAAAAAAGTCAATTTGATAAGGAAAAGTCAGATTTTTACCCGTTTTACTTGTGAGGCCGGAAAAAGGATTTTCAGAATATCGACGGCGCAGCTGTACGTTTTATTGCATGCAATTATCGACGGCGTAAGTCCGCAATCACATATCTCGTTTGAGGTGTCTGCAAATCTCCGCTTCTGTGTTATTTTTTAAAGGAGAACAAATTGACATCACTCCTTGAAGTTTTGGCAGCATTTTCTTCGCACACAGAAGAAAAATCACGGCAGTTTTAAAGAATTGCCGTCGGGTAGTTTTCCGTTAAAAAAATAAAGTATGACCGAAAGTCTCGCGACGCGACGTCGCAAACCGAGTTATGTGATTGCCGACTTACGATACGCAAATCTGTGGTGACGCACGTTTAAAACAACTGTACATAATGCAAAAACCCTAGGCTCGGCTTTCGCGATTTCAGCATCCTTTTTTGCTCTCCCTGCGTCAAAAAATCATTCTGTGAAATTTGAACCCACTTTAGGATGAGGTTAGCTGCATTAGCTTTCGCAATTTTCTCATTGACATCTCAATCATTTTGGAATCGGAAACCCATCGAAAAATATGGGCGCACCATCCAAAATTCCAAAATCAAGGCTTGCCTGCAGCAAAATGTAAATCATAAACAGAGCATCTCTATTAAAGGAAAGGTCTCTTCATAGAGTCTCAAATGACGATTTGAGATTGGTTCAGTTCATTTATGCTGACAGAGCGACGGCAGTACTTAACCGGGGTTCGCCAATATTCTCTAAAAATTAAATTGTGGTGAGAAATCTGCTACGCGGATGATCGCAAAATGAAGTCCACGATTCGATAGTTTCACATTTGATTTTAATGTAGCTACCTATACCTGCCTCCAGTTTCAATGATATTGCAGCCAACTGTCTCGGTGCCGTTGGCGGTCTACGTGTAGGGTGCAAGAAGCACCCCATACAATTTGTAATGCATGTGAAAAAACTAACCTATTTTGCAGAAAATGATGAATTGCAATGAAATTTTAACCTCATTTTATTGTGCGGTATCCTAACTGCATCTTAACTGATAGAGTGCCTTCAATTCTTCATTTATACATCTCCTAGATATCTCTTAGATAAGAATTGTTGTTCTACAAATCATCCTAAGCACACCACGATATCAAAACTGAAGGATAGAAGATACTCACACCTTACGCATGCAACTATTTGAGCCTAGGTGATATCTTTGTAGTTTTGTAGAATATACGACGAATTGAAAGCGCTCTGTCAAAGTGGCTTCTTGCAGTAAAGCCCGCCGTTGGCGCAACGCCGCACCGCGGCGCGCCGCAGGCCGCGGGTGCAATGGTGAGAGCCGGGGCAGTCAAAACGCCTTCAATTCTATGCGTAGGCAACACGGACATCCGTAGAGCCCGAATAGTTGCATCCAGGAGTTAAAATGTTGTACAGCGTTTGTCGCATGCGGCGCTAAGGGCGCTTTTTCTTCTTTCTCGTACGTAGTAAATAAATTCCAGCGTTTCCTACTGTGCCGATGAAGTAAACTATTACTGATTTTTTACGACATTGTCAATTATCTGAATAATGCGTTGATTGTATAAATGTATAAAAACGTTGCCGTCCTATAAAATGTGGGCTGCGCCTCTAGCTTCTCTGATCTAGGAGCGACGAGCGTGGGAAAGTCGTTCTAATCAATCAATCAATCAATCAATCAATCAATCAATCAATCAATCAATCTAGTATCACGAAAAAGAAAAAAATCATGAATTTGGCACCCAGTTCTCTTAGATGTCAAGTATGTCGGGAGGAAAGAAGCGAGCGTAACTTTATCGGAATGTTGCACCTGGGTGCGTCTATAAGTGTGCCCAGTATGTCCGTGTTGCAGTTGTTGCACGCACCAAAAATGAAGGCGTTCTGGCTTTCTTTGCCCATAGGCAACGCGTGCCGGGTACGGCGCGGCGAACCGTTCGAAAAATAGCGATGCAGAGTCAAACAAATCTTCGATGAGGAACGGTTGCTAATATGTAGAAGGAAAGATAGATATAAGAGAAGCAGGAAAGACATCTTTTTTATGTCTATTATTTTTTTCATTTGAAGCTGTAGAATTTCTATAAAACGGAGGAGCTTACTATATAAAAATTACTATAAAAATTATTAGCTAGAAAGATGAAAGCAATCGATATCTTTTTCAAATATGTCGCCGCTCCTCCTTTTTATGCCCATACTCATCAGAGTCTTAATCGCGACTTTGAATGAGCAATGGAGTTAGCAATTAGCATGGCTAAGAATCTTAGCTATGCTAATTCCATGATTTTCAGAAGCTCATTCCCTGACGAGGAATAAAAAAACTTTCTCCCACCTTGCCATGATTTTTCTGGGAAAAACGATATGAACCATCGGAGTTCTAGGTATGAATAACGATTTTTTTCGTCTTTCATCGGATTTGTCAGCGTACATTCAATATTTCAATTCCAAAAGTGTTCCTGATGTTTGTATTTTCTGCCTTATCAGAATTCTGTATCATCAAAATAGTGTATTTCCTTCGGAAAATTAACTACTTAGATACGTGTAAAAAGGCTATAAAAACTTAGCTTATGGGAAAAAATTGTCGATGTATCCTGCTCCGTAAAGTAAATGGAGCAAGAACAATTACTTTTTTTTATTTAAAGTTAGAATAAAAGGTGAGATTAAAAATTAACTATTTTCATAAAATAAAGTAAAAATTAATTTTTCAGACAAACATTTTAAATGAAATAAAGAGACGAGAGGACCCTCCAGAATTTTAAGTTGGAACCACCCATAAAACTCTTAAAATGTTTTTTTTTTTTTTTTTTTTTTTGCCGCCACAGTCGCTCAACAAAATATGCCATTTTTGTCACTTTCCATTAATTTGCGATGTCAGGATTTAATATTTTAAAAACTTCTCGGGCGCTTTTTAGTGCACTCAAGTCGTTTCATGTCATATGGACTATATTGTAAGTTTAACAGAAACGCACCTAGTCGCATTTTAAAGGAAAATGGGATTTGCATTATATCAATCGTAAATTTTCTCCTGTCAATATAATTCATATATAATTGAGAGAAAATATTTTGGAGCGAAAATGCTTAGTTGTTAAATTTTGTCCGTAATATTGGGTCGTCTTATTCAGAGAAGAGACTCCAAACCTCTTTCTCGATTCATTCTTGATGCAAATCTGGCGCGCTCCTAATGAAGATCGTCCATGAGGAAAGATAGGTACTTCAGTTTTCAGCTCACAATATTTTCAGCAAAGCTAGTTTCTTTCCGAGTTAGGAATTGAAAAATCCACGAATCAGTATTCGACGGAAAACTCGCACAGGGTCCTAAAGAATGTACCTACCTATACTTAGTTAGCAATCGCTTTAATTTATCCGTGTGCCCATTGAGAGAGGGCAGCAACTTGGATTCGTCATTAACATGACAAGTAAATAATTTTGACTGGAACTTTCACAATTGCCGCAATCACAAACCAAGAGTCGTGGTTTGATAGTTTATATGTACTATCGCTGAATAATTGAGTCCCCCCTCCCGCCATAACTGTGCGGACGTTATTTCGCGGGCCACATTTCGAACAGTAAGAGGCTGATGCAACATCTGCGTGTAACCGGTGGTCGGTGAGTCCCCGATACTCAACGTTGTCGCTTTCGGGCATGGACGGGCGATAATTTTGTAAACTGAAGTGACACCTTGACAGTTTTGTGAGGTTTCGGCCTGAATTTATACTTGAAGATCTTCAAATTCCGCACTGATGGCGGCTCCTAAAGTGAATCGGGTCCAGGACCTTTCCAAACTAGTAAGTCTCTGTACTTTCCGTTTCCCTCGGGAAACACAGCCGTCAAATTGTCTAACCTCACTTTCATGCGCGCCTTGTTTCTTCCACATTTCCCAAATTGAGTGCCTTTAAGAGTCATAAGACTCTGAAATTTATAGATGTCTTATGTCAGCCACCGTCTGTGATTAGTATCCAGCGATAAAAATTTTAATGAAGCCTCTCACTCCCAGTTTCTATGAAACCGCAGCCAGCTGTCTCGGTGCTTTGGGCAGTTGACGACAAGTTGTTATTGATATCTATTATCTGTTCCACCTATTCAAAGCATCGGACATTTTTTTTTATTTTAGTCAATAATGAACTTGAAGTTTTTCTCACCTAGGGAAACAATCATTTACCTAAACTGCCCCTCTTATCTCATAGCTGTAAAGATCATGCCAAATAAGTCCACGCAACTGCAGGGGATGATAGACGACTAGCAGTCTTCCACCTAGTATCAGAAGTACATCAATCAATGAACATGACAAATCATCTGTCTCACTCTGAAAGTGGGTACATTTCTTAGTTCGGACTTTCATCTGATACTCAGTTAAGTACAATTAGTATGTTAAGGGCTGTAGTTATCAAGAAGCTTGGCTGGTTCTCAATTTAATGAGGAATTTGATGCGCTCAGTTCAAACATGATTAAATATTTACAGTTGAAGCATTGATTTGAGTCTCCAAGCTTCACTACTGTAAGTTAGATTTGGTCTTCTGCTATAATTGTCCGTGGAGCTTGAAGCACAGTAGGCTTAGTTGTTATTGTGTTGTCTTGTCGGCAAATTTAAAATTGTTATGAGTGTATCTAAGTTAATAAGCACATAATGCTTACCCATTGCACAGTTACAATATTGTGCATTGGTTCAAAACCCAATAATGCAAATAGTATATAAGACCAACCTCTTCAGCCATTTGCTCCACTAAATTAACGTTTAAGTTATTTAATGCTGTTTATGCAGAGTGAATGTAGACAAGGGACTAGGTTTGTCTCGCAGTTCCAGAATTTAAATTTCATGCCTTCGAGCACTAATTTTCTTAGGAACTTCCTTATAGTCATTTATTTCTCAGTTGAAAAGACAGTACATTGTTTCAGAACTGATACACTTCAGTCTAAAACTTATTGTGACTTCTCTGAATTAGGTCCTGCAGAAATTTAGTTTTCCTTGGTACTAGTCCTCAAAAGTTTACTAATTATGTTCTACGGAGATGTAAAATTTACTTGCGCAGTAACTAATCTTTTAATTTTCTCTTGCAGGATATCTCAAAATTAACAGCTTTATCTCCTGAAGTGATAAGTAAACAAGCCACCATCAATATCGGTAAGAAGTTTTGACTACCAAGAAAATCTTTTAACTAATTTTTTTTTGCTTGTTATTTTCAGAATACTTAAGCTCAATTATTCGTTCTATACATCAAAATTGCTCTCATTGCTCTCACACGTTGTTATTAAATTAAAGTCCATATCAGATGTGCAGAAAATGTCTGTAATCGCAATACTCGTAATGTTCCTCTTGCGAATATTATTCTCCCAACAAATCTGTTATCAACCATTCCTGCTTCTGCAAGATACTTTTGCTTACAATTTTTCCTTCTAGTAAGGTAGCAATTTTTTCAAGTAGTCATTAAAGGTGTTAAAATTTTTTTTCACTTAGGTACAATTGGTCATGTAGCCCATGGTAAATCAACTGTGGTGAAGGCCGTGTCAGGTGTACAAACTGTCCGTTTCAAGAATGAATTAGAAAGGAATATCACCATTAAGCTAGGTAAGTCTCATTGTTACATTCCGGTCTTTGACATTGGGAAGAAAAATGTTCAAAGTTTTGATTGTTCAAGTTTGGTAAAAGCCTGAAATTTTAAAGGCATGCTGGAAATTTGGTAAAAATGCCAAAGTTTTTTGAGGTACTTATAGAATGTTACTTAATTTTTTGGTTAATAATAATGAAAAACAATATCTCTATCACTATTATCTTAAAACTATGCCTAATTATGATACATATCCCCAAAAATAGACCCAAATTACATTTTAGGACCAACAATTTGCAGATGCTGACATTCTGCTGAGGCGACAAGGGTTATAAAGTATTCTGACATCATTTTTGAGCAACAAATTTTAAAAATGTTCCTTTCCGTCTTTAAGTAGGTAAAGCAAATTTAAAATTCCTATCAGTGCAGTTTTCCATTAAAATAAAAAAAGGTTTTTCAAACTATTGCTTAAGTGTGAATTTCAATATGATTTTCCTGTATTTCATACAAAACCAAATAAAATAAGGAATGCCGGAAAATTGCAGGACAAAGTAGGAGATTTGGAAGCCTGCTGGAGATCCCTGGCAATATCAGTACAACCATTAGAGTATTCAAAAAATCAAAGCTCACAAATAGTGATTTTGTTACAGGTTATGCCAACGCAAAAATTTACAAATGTGATAACCCCAAGTGTCCGCGTCCTGTCTGCTACATTTCTGGAGGCTCTTCAAAAGATGACACATTTCCATGTTTGCGGCCAAACTGCAGTGGACACTTTCAGATCATTCGCCATGTCTCCTTTGTGGATTGCCCTGGTCACGACATTCTTATGGCAACCATGTTGAACGGAGCCGCTGTCATGGATGCAGCTTTATTGTTAATAGGTGAGTAGAAGCTGTTTTGTTTAAGTCAACCCTCCTCATGTATTCGCACAGATACTGTGATTGCTCTATTTGCAAGCACATAAATTGGAAGTAGGAAGTAGTTGGTAACCTTACAGTGATTTATGGCTTTGAATTTCCTCAAATTTTTCATTAAAAGTGTAGAGTGCTGACAGCAAAGTTGATACCGATGTTTTTTTTTTGAGCATCCTATTTTGAGATTCAATGTGGTTTATTGATTTGACATTCTTATTAACTCATCAGGAAGCAAATGAGTTTTTCTGATAAGACTTGCTTCTTTTGCGCATGTTCACCTCCGAGCACTCCTTAAATCGAGTACATAATCCTAATGTTAAAATCCGCCTGTAGGTGTTATTTCTGAAAATTAACAAAAATTCACTCCCAGAAATGTTTTCCTTAATTTTTGGAAAGCTTTGAACATTAGCTATCCTGAAGGAGGAACAATTTTCCAATGTATGTTACCTGAAATTGCATTTACATGTGCCCCAAAGTAGACCTTATCAAAAAATCTGAATTTTCTACGAACCAGGTGACCTTCGTATTCATGAGTTTTCTCACCAAAGTCCCATCAAACCAATTTTCAAAATCCTCCAATCATTTCAAAACTGAGAGCATGCCTAACAGGTACTGGTTTGATTAATCTTTTCAAATTGGAAGATATAAGCAAAACAGAAAGAAAATCTCCAAAGAGAAAGGCTCTATGTTCCGTCTCATTTCAAGATTCTTTTGTTTGTCATTATGTATGATTTAGCTCGTCTTCATTTTCTAATTTTCTACTTCTGGCGTTTATGATAATTCTGTTTTTGTTTTGCAGCGGGCAATGAATCGTGTCCACAGCCTCAAACTTCAGAACATTTAGCCGCCATCGAAATCATGAAACTAAAACACATCATCATCCTGCAAAACAAAATAGATCTTGTAAAAGAGGGGCAGGCTAAAGAGCAATATGAACAAATCTTAAAGTTTGTCCAAGGTAAAATTTTTCTTTCTTCTTCTATGAAAGTTAAAGCTAATTGTAAAAATTTTGGAAGAGATTGGAAGTTTGATCCATGAGTGAAAGCTATGCAAAAGTTGGATCCCTAGAGATATGCCTCCACTTCAAAGTTTTCCTGAAAATTCACTCACTTAATTTTTTGGTGTTTTAATCTTTAATGAATCAGGATCAATCTCTAATGGAGAGAAACAGCCTTGTCGAAAATGAATTAGGTACCTATCGTTAATTCTAAAAAAAAAACAACTGAAAATCTGAAAATTGGATACACATTCTGATTTTATCATTTTTATTCTCTCTTATTTCATTTTATTCTTTGTTCTAAAATCTCCCCCCTATTTTTGGAGAGAGTATCAATTAATATTGTTAAAATATGTAGGAGAATATTCTCGGAAGTTCAAAGCATAATCTCGCAAAATCAAGTAATGGTAATGATCCTTCAGGAAAGTGAAGTTTGAAAGAAAATCAGGGATAGTGCTAACTAAGGGATGCTGTTTTTTGGCTCACTGTCGAAAAACTTTTTAAAAAAATTAATGTAGCCAGCTTATGTAGGGGTGCAAAAACTTCTTGATCTTGCGATCGGGTGGGTCTTGATCATTCGCATGCAAAAATTGAAAGGCCCCAAAAATGGTATTTTGAAATGGGAAAGCTGGCAAAATTGCCATCATTCTTGCAAAACCGCAGCAAAAATCTTTTGTCTTCTGCAAAATCGCTGTATAAATCACGTGCTTTGCAGCAATTTTGCATGCACAGAGCCATAAAAAAAGTCATCTTTTCAAAATTTTTGGAGAAAGAAGGGTTTTTAAAATAGGAAGCCCAAGGACTTAGTGCACCCCAAAAAAAGCTAAAATTTCAAAGTTATAAGCCGTTGAACTCAATTATACTAAATGCTTAATATAAATATGTAGATCATGCATAGTAATTGAAGTATCGATTGCAATTTTTGTATAATTGTGCTTTTTAAATATTTTTTTTTACCATATGCTACTACCATTAAAACATACATATAGGTAACGGAATTAACCTATATTAAGTCCTCTCTCTTTCTTTTTGTTTAATTTTTGTAATTTTGTTTATTTGCATAATCATTTTTGTATTTTATTTTACCCATACTAGTACTCCATATTACAGTATGCATGGTGTTTGAATGTAAGGAAATAGCGTAGGGTCAAAGAAACAGACATTTGGTATGTTCGGTATGAATGGTTTATTGCTAATACAAAAAAATTTAGCTTTAGTTAAATTTTAGTTATAAGTATAAAACTTAAAAATAATGTAATTAATAGCCCCGTCAGGGGCTAGTTGTACAATTTTTTAATTAATAAAAAAAAAAATATGCTACTGATGCTCTCAGGAAGTCAAAAATGTTGTTTCAATGGTTAACATACGCAGTCCATGAAAGTTTCTTTGCTGGCAGTATGTCTGGGTGATCCAAGATGGAAATTATTGCTGCTGATAAATGTTACCTAGCCGCTGTGCAATGCTTGATCTGAAATCGAATCTCTGGGTCAGGCCGAAGGATAGTCAGTGCATCTCATTATTGTCAAGCATTACTATCCTTTACTTTTGTTGCGGAGCAATTGAAACGATAATTGATTATATTGTATTGCTGTTCGTTTACAACAGGCACAGTCGCAGAAGGAGCTCCTGTGATACCGATTTCTGCTCAGCTGAAATACAACATCGAGGTCTTGTGTGAGTACATCTCTAAAAAAATCCCGATTCCAACAAGAGATTTCATGTCCCCACCACGTCTGATAGTCATTCGGTCTTTTGATGTGAACAAGCCTGGTTGTGAGGTTGACGATCTTAAAGGTGGTGTTGCTGGTGGAAGTATTCTCAGAGGTGTACTAACGGTAAGATTTTCATATCTTTCTCACAGGCAGATAAAGAGCTCTTTTACCGATGTTTACTCATCTCTTTTCAGAAATGTGTTGAGCCTACTGAAGAATTTGCAGGATGGAACTTCATCGAGTAACAAGTGTTGGAAATTTTTTTGACAGTTTTTTTGACAGTCCTCACCAAATTTTTTGTGTATGAAATTCGGTAGTTTTATATTACAGCAGTTGGGAGTTCCCCAATAAGAATTCTCCTCATTCCAGATCACCTCGTTGAAAATTAACAGTAAAAAAATTTGGCCATGTCATCTCAAATTAATAAAAATATAGTCATCATTCAATGAGTATTAACAAGAAACATGTCGATCCTGTAATTTATCTCAAGGTTCTCAAAAGGATAGCTTTTGTGTAAAATTCTCTGCAACGTAACATTTTACTCAAAAACTTACGGAGATAGGCTTATGCTCTCTAAATTATAATCATCGTAAACTACTTGCATGTTACGGTTGATGATTCATCGTTGTGTTCAGTATCAAAGAAATCACTCAGTGATGAATCAAATGTGTGTCAAGGTGTGCAGAACTCGGAGAAATTAGTAATCATCATTATTATTCATTAAGATACAAGAGATCTCAGCGAATTCTCTAGAGAAGCACAGATTAAAATGAGGAATTTCCCATCTTTCAATTCTGGGGCCATTTTCTTATTTCATTTTAAGACAAATAAGGAAAAGAATCAAACAAAAATATTTTTGCGTAACTTTATGCATATTGAGTCTCTTGGTGAACATACTTAGTTCACATTAGGCACTCATGTCTTAGTTTTACAATAATGAATTTTAATTTTGAATCTTTCAAAAAATGTTTACAAACATGATCAGAAAAATGTGCAATATTAAAATGTGTCATGATCAGAAAATATCATGGTAATCCTGTTTTTTTTTTTTATATTTATATTTTTGGAACAATATCTAAATTATTTTTCATGTTTTTAACAGGTCGGCATGGAGATTGAAGTGAGACCTGGTTTAGTCTCAAAAGACAGTGAAGGCAAACTCACGTGTAAACCCATCTTCTCCAGAATAGTCTCTCTTTATGCTGAACAGAATGAACTCCAGTTTGCTGTCCCTGGTGGCCTCATTGGTACGTATGCTGACTCATTTGATTAAATCCTGCTTTAAGGCAAACCAGTCTAATGAACTAAATTTTTAAAAGGGTCTAAAACTTAAATTTTTCTACTGAGGAAAGAAAGCCTGAAATACATTGATGGTGTATATATTTCGGTTTTGGCTATTGTTCATGATGTAGGCGAGCATTCACGTTAAGAAGTTGCTGCAATAATACTTTCTTTTATCCTGATGTAACGTCTTATTGCAAATTCCTCATCATTTTTAAATTTGAGAAGAATACTTCTATTAGTTAATTTTTAATTCTGATAAAAGACCTAACTATTTCTGGTTTCAACTGACATTCAAATCATATTTTTTTTTACATATTTTTAAATCCTTAAAACTGCATCAACACCAGTCAGACAATATTACGCAAAAAGAAACCAAGATTTGTCACTCATTCTTAAATGCACCTTTCTGCAGATGGAAAATGAAAGGCAGATACATCATCTTTGAACCAAAGATATCGATACAAAAAATTGTAAATCCAATTTTTTCCCAGATTGTCACCTTTACTGTTTTTCTCATTTATTGAACATTTATTTTGGTTTCAATATAGCTTAGTTATTAGAACTGCTATCTTCATAAAATTAAATGAATATCTAAGTGGAAAAACAATTCATGTTACTAATGAGCAGATAATATTAAGTATGGGGGCTAGTGTGTATATACCAAAATTTGAACTATAATTTATGTTTATCTCCTTAGAAATTAACTTTATTGCATCTGCAATTGGTTGAGCAATTCCTGCTATTAAAATTTTATTTGGGCCTTTACGGGATTGTGAATATCCAATTATTTTCCGTTCTAACAAAGTAAAAAAAGCAACTGAAATCATTACTGAGAACTGAAATTGAACTGAGATTTCAAATGAGAAAAAAATTGATTCTCCAAACTCCACCACCATTATCAAAAGGTTATTGGGAATGACAACTTAGTTTAACATCAACACAAGACAAAGCAAACTTTTCAAATTCTTATACCGTGCAATGTACTTACTCTGACTATGCTATACCAAAAAATCCTCCTCTTATTGCACTTATTGCTCTCTAACCACAGATATTGAAGATGAAAATTAGTCTTGATGTTAACTTTTTGCATAGAAAATCAATCATCCAAGGCCAATCATCTAATACTCTTGTTTTGACAAATCATAAGATTACTTTTCTGTCCGTCATTATTTGAAGGTATTTAAATGAAAAATAGAACTATCTGCATTTTGACTCAAGCTTCACAAGAAAACATGCATGACAGAGCCAGCCCATGCTACAATTCAGATAAATCTTTTTGATCTAAATACATCAATATGTTCATCCATCATAGAAGGTATGAATTTGTGTTGGATTTCAGGTGTTGGCACAAAAATCGAACCAACGCTATGCCGTGCTGATCGTTTGGTTGGACAAGTATTAGGTGCCGTTGGAGCCCTGCCAAAAATATTCATTGAGCTAGAAGTCTCATATTATTTGCTAAAGCGTCTACTTGGAGTCAGAATGGAAGGAGACAAGAAGGGAGCCAGGGTAAGAAAATTTTTATTTTACTTTTTAGTTTTGTATTGGTTAGCATATGGCATCCATTAGCAATTAAATGATACTAATGCGGATGTGATGCAGGTATTTTCTAATAATCAAAAAAACTAAAGAAACACATAACAATGCATTTCAGTGTCACTCACCATCTTCAGGATATTTACAAACTTGTAAAATTCACTTAAAAAACCACTACACTACACGGTGTTACAATTTAAAAACAAATATGCAACAAATTACATTTTACAGTTACAGTTTCTTCGTAATTGATACATTATAAAGCTTTCAATGCTGCCATGATTGTGCAATTTTTAACAGCATTTGCAGAGTATGAAATTGATTTACGGTCAATTTATTTCCACTTGAAAGTGAAAAATCATTCGGAGCAGATTCAGAGAAAGATTCATTGCAATTTTGGGCGGGTTACTCGTAATTAAAGAGAATTTTGTTGCAGAGAATCTCAGCAGCATCAGAAGCCTCTTTCACCTATTTACCAAAGAAGTCCTTAATTAATATTCAGCTCTTTAAAATCATAATACCGTGTAATATTATGGTTTTTTGTGAATTTTGTATGTTAGTAAATGCCCCGAAGATGGCGCAAGGCAGCACGCAATGCATTGATGTGTGTTCATTTAATTTTAATTAACAAAAGTTTCCTGTATTTAGGCACATTCTTATTAGTATGTATTATCAAAATACTCCTTTATCATTTTTTGTGTGTCGCTAACGATAGTAGAGCATCCTCTACCAAATAATAACATAAGCACTTGTGAGCAGCCATATACTAAGACTCTTTCCTGCATTTAAAAAAAAGAAAACAGTAGCCTCAACAATGAAAGTATCAATTCAGATACAATTAAAAGAAGGTATACTATTTTCCTCTTTTCTGAAATTAAGTGGAGGTATTTCAGTGTTGTAATGTTGATAAACACGGCCTGTGATGGCTTGCATAGTTTTTTAATATTAAAATACCTTTCATTGATCTTGAACTTTTTTCCTCTAATTTTTCAGCATCCTAAATTTTGAAAATTATCCCAGTGGACCTGACAGTCCTTGATTATTTGTTCTTTTTAATAAACTTCCCTTATTAGGACTTGTATCGTCTACTGACTGAGGTAGAGATGAAATGAGGAAGAAAATTTTAATCAAGGGTTTAATAGTTTTCTTTCAAAAAATCATTGAACGTTTTTTCCTCTGGTATTTTTACAGTCTAAATCTTAATTTCAACCCAAAGGCTGGATAGTATAGTTTCCATATCCAATTAATCTTAGTAGCTAAATTTTTAAATAGTGTAAATCGTTAACTAAAAATGATTTGTATCAAAAACTCTAACTTTCAAATCAACTTGATTTTAACAAAAAGGATAAGTTTCCTTTTTGTTAAAATCAAGTTGATTGAAAAGGATAAGTTTCCTTTTTGTTAAAATCAAGGTAATTTGAAAGTTAGAGTTTTTGATATGACTCATTTTTTGTTAATTTTCATTTTCAAAGTTTATAATCATTTGTTAAAGTAAAAAAAAGTGTAAATCGTATTGAATTAAAGGTTTGCGGACTGTTATTTTATTATTTTATGAAAGTCACAAAAAACTCTATTACTCAACAGGTCCAAAAATTATCGAGGAACGAAGTGCTTTTAGTGAACATTGGCTCTCTGTCGACTGGTGGTCGTGTAATAGCGACAAAACTTGATTTAGCCAAAATTAGCTTAACAAATCCTGTTTGCACAGAGATGGGAGAAAAGATCGCTCTCAGTCGGCGTGTTGAAAAACATTGGCGGTGAGTTTTTAAGCTTATTTGATTTCATATTTTTCTAAAACCGTGTTTTTTTTTTTTTTCTTTCTTTTTTAAATTGATCATCTTTTATGAAATTTTGATCTTCAGTTTTTACACCTCTCTTTGTGAAAACTTAATTTTGGAAGATATTATGTCGTTAATTAGGGTGGAGCTTGTCAGTTGCTTTTTGGTCCACTTTCAGGCCCTCTTCCCGAGCCTTGACAGGCGTACTTTTGTGCGTCTTCTTGTGCAGCATGATATGTTGCTAAAGAAAAGTGAAGCATGAAAGAATGTTAGCCAAGCACACCAAAGTGTTCAAGACAGCTTATTAATCTGTATTTTACCATCCATATGAAAAGAGCCTTCATGTTGAGACGCTTCTATTTGAAATATTGACAGTATTGCATGGAGGATCGTTTTTCAAACATTTTGGCACAATAAAACTCCCCAAAATGTCTAAATGAACAGAATTTATGAGGCAAAGTTATCCTAAGTTTCAATTTACCTTGTTAAGGGCCAAAAAGTTTTGTATTTTCATGCAACTTTACGCTATCTTATAGCGGAAAATTGAGCCGAACGACTCCTTGCTTATTCTTTGGCATACTGTTATGTGTTTTTCGTTTGAATTTCAAATCTTCACTTTTTCACCTACCTAGGCATATTTTGCTCTGCTGACACTTCAACTTCCAGGCACATTTAGATTATTGTCTCTTTCGGATGTTCAGGCATGTACCTAACACTTCTTTACACTTTTCCTTACTGTTTATGCCTATTTTACTTGAATTTTGTTCTGTTCATAAAATATTTTGTGTCTTTGTTTTAGAAGCGTGTATTAGGGTTTTTTTCTGTTTAAATATTCAGGATCTTAGAAAACAATTTTAAAATGTCCGTCCTGGTGTCTTCCTTTGACCATAGCTAATTGTTGTACTAATGCTTCATATTTTTTATTTAGGTTAATCGGCTGGGGTCAGATCCGAGGAGGGGTGACGATTGAACCGACCGTCTAAGTCAAGAGATACTGGTCACCACACTATTGGTATTTCCTTATGATAGCTCTGGATTGTATTTTTTGTACAGTTTGGTACGTTAAAATAAATAAAGTTAAAATTTTACTCAATGGCTGTTAGTTGAAGGATTTTTTAACATAAAAACTGTCTATCTCTCACTAGTCTTGTCCGATTTTTCCAGGTGTAATTTGACCAATTTCTGCTAGACAGATTTACATATATTTGAGTGGAAAAGATGGGGTGTGCTCTGTAAGAAACAATTTAAAAGTGGGCGTGACTCCCCTTGGAGAAATGGTAACGGGGGATTTTACATTTTACCAAATGGAACTGAACGCCAACTGCATGCGGCACTTTTGAGCCATGGACATCGGAAAGGAGCGCTGTGAACAGGGCTCATGAGTAATTATGGACGCGGTCTATTGCGACGGCAGCTTCATCGTTGCTCATGTCAGTGGCGCTTTATAATTCCCATTCATTCTTACAACCCTCGAATAACGAGCATACCCCTTCTTTCCCATGTGTTTTAGGTTCCGTTTAGCAGAAATATGTCTTATTCACTAAAGTAATGGAGAGATCCTTCTCAATTAACAATTGGACTGCACCAAGCGGACCAGAACTAAAACACATCAGCCATTGCCAAATTGCATCAAGATGATTTATTTTTTCATGGGAAAAATTTAGTCTTAAAATTTCAGAAAATTTCCTCTGTGATGGGAAGCAAACTCTCTAAAATTTTAAAAAAATCTTTATAACTGTTCTCAAGTTAAAATAGAATTCATCCAATGAAAGTCAATAGCCGATGTTCCTCAGTTTCTCTCTACTTGAAAGTATGCAATTTTAGGTTGGATCACTCTCAAACTATCAGAAACTATTTTTCATCATTTTTTTGTGATCCAATAGGGCTGTCCCAAGATGTTGAATATCTTTATTCATTAAATTTTTTTGAATTAAGTTAATGAGTCATCAATCTCCAGATATTTACAAAAATGCTATGAATTCTATCTGATGCAGAATAATTTTACTTTCAATAGAAAAAATGCATTCCTCTTGAAGTTATGAGGTGCTCGGAGCAACAAAGCTTAAAAGCAATTTACATAAATGATAATTAATACTAAATTTACATAGTGAAAATGAGAGCCAAAAATCTGATTCATTGGTTGTTGCTCAACAGTCGTAATTTTGTGAATCAAAAGTTTGTCCTCTTTAAATTATTTTTGACCAACTCGTAACTAGTGGGCGCCGTGTTCTCAGCATCTTAATATGCTTGCCTTCACTGTGTGTCAGTAGGCAATATCTTGAATTTTTGCGTTCGAAATCAAGTGTTTCAGTCTAAGTAGCTCAACAGTTCAGGTCGAATCAAAAGCGCTTTTAAATATTTTCCTTATTGCTTTTAACATTTTTGGTCACCTAGACCAAAACTATAGGAAACAAGAGTTTGTGCTTGTTCTACCTTCACTTCGTTTCGTAATATAGAACCTCCTATCTCTGGCTTATTAGTAAAGGCATCTATCTGCGCAAGCTGTTTGTAAATGGAGCCAGAAATAATGGAGCCCATTTGATAGATGAGCATCTGATTGTGTACAAAGTCCAGTTACACTCTTAATGCTGCTGGGCTGAAGGTAGGTGAGTACAGCTTGACCATTCAGACATTGCCGCTTTTCTCTGATAAAACATGAATTCTCTGAAAGATTTTTTTTGTGAGTTTGAATTTTTCCAAAAATATGCTCTGTATTTACTTTATAACACTTAAAAATTTCATGGAAAAATACCTACCAATAACTATTCTGAAAAGAAATGCCTGTCTCAGAACAAATTTGGCATCACCTCAATGTCTCAGGCAAACACTTTCCAAACACTTGACTGATCCCATTTAAAGACCCAGCTTCTAATTTCAAGTGGTTGATTAAACTTTTGGTTCAAGTTCGTGTTGATGACACTAGATTAAATACATATATTCACTATTACAAGAAAGTTGATAGGTATAAGGTATTGCTATTTGCGTTTGGAGTGGGTCGAACTCAGAAATAAAAACAATTTTCATTAACTGCACTGATCCGCTTTTTCGATTCAGTATTAGACATCAAAATGCCCATGATCTCCAAAAATATTTTTAGAGGATTCATAGAACGCACTTCATGCACGCTGGCCTATTCAATTTCCGTTAACATTTTTGCAGTCATGAATGCGCTTATGTGCGCTTCAGCTAGAATTGCATTTAGCAAATGGGTAGTTTTTATAGGAGGATTATACTTAAACAAGTGGTTAGAAATGGAAATAAAATACAATGAACTATGCAAAACGATTATTCAGATATCGGAACTTGGCTGTTTTGAAAACGCCTTCAAATGGGCGTGATACCGCACGCATTCCGGAGAGTTCAAATAGTTGTATCATTGCGCCGCGCCGTAAGAATGTGACGGAAGATTTAAATGGAAAGAGCCTCCATGCACGCTGGGCGAGTCGTTTTTTTTTTACATTATTGCAGTGGCGAATGCGTAGCCGAAGTGCGCTCCAGCTAGAATTGTATTTACAAATGGCTGGTTTTTCTACGAGGATCAAAAATAAACAGTTGGCACGGAATATAACAAAAGAATATGAACTATGCAAAACGATAATCCGGGTACCGAAATTTGTCTGATTTGAAAACCTTCAAATGCGGTGTGATACCTCACGCATTCCGGAGAGTTCAAATAGTTGTATCATTGCGCCGTATGAATGTGATGGAAGATTTAAATGGAAATAGCCTTCGTGCAGGCTCGCCTCATCCCATCTCGGGCCCTGGTACCAGTTCTAAGGTCCGGGCCCCAAGCACAGAGGGGGGGGGGATCCGAGGGGCATCCCCCCAGAAATTTTAGAATTTATACAACTAATCGGACGCATTTTGAAGCTTCCATAAAGAATTTTTCTATCAATTTCTGCGGAATAATTATATTTTTTATTATACTTTCATCACAAAATACTTGCGAATTGTTGCATTCAAAAAATTTGCATATGATACTATTTCCATTTCTATCGGGGCCAGGCCCTCCTGGACTCCCCCTTCGTTTGTCTATGGCAAGGGAGTCGAGCCATGAGCCATTGAAGTCGAGGATGCCTAGACTGGTGACTCTCAGCATCTGACGACGGAAGAAAATGAAACGCAGTTACTAAAAATATCCCTCTGTACTGAAAATCTTGAAAATAGATAGAAATTTTCCAAGAAGTATACTTCTTTGAAAATTTAAGAAGAATNTTGTGCCCGTGTTACCCGTGAAAAACTACTGCGAATTCACATGGAACCCTTGTTTCGTAAGAAAAAGTGAAAAATTTACCCTAAAAATTTCAGAGGAAATCGACAAGTCCAGCGTGCATGGTGGCTATCTCCATTTAACGCGCAAACGCGCACGTGGCGCGTTGCGTCTTACGGCGCAATGATACAACTATTTGAACTCTCCGAAATGCGTGCGGTATTACGCCCATTTGAAGGCGTTTTCAAAACAGCCAAGTTCCGATATCTGAATAATCGTTTTGCATAGTTCATCGTATTATATTTCCATTTCTAGCCACTTGTTTAATAATTATAATCCTCCTATAAAAACCACCCATTTGCTAAATACAATTCTAGCTGAAGCGCACATAAGCGCATTCATGACTGCAAAAATGTTAACGGAAATCGAATAGGCCAGCGTGCATGAAGGCTATTTCAATTTTTATCTTCCGTCACATTCATACGGCGCAATGAAACAACTATTTGAACTCTCCGGAATGCGTGAGGTATCACACCGCATTTGAAGGTTTTCAAATCAGCCAAGTTCCGATACCCGGATTATCGTTTTGCATAGTTCATATTCTTTTGTTATATTCCGTGCCACTTGTCTATTTTTGATACTCGTAGAAAAACCACCCATTTGTAAATACAATTCTGGCTGGAGCGCACTTCGGCTACGCATTCGCCACTGCAATAATGTAAAAAAAAACGACTCGCCCAGCGTGCACGGAGGCTCTTTCCATTTAAATCTTCCGTCACATTCTTACGGCGCGGCGCAATGATACAACTATTTGAACTCTCCGGAATGCGTGCGGTATCACGCCCATTTGACGGCGTTTTCAAAACAGCCAAGTTCCGATATCTGAATAATCGTTTTGCATAGTTCATAGGATTTGGTTTTCATTTCTAACCACTTGTTTAATTATAATCCTCCTATAAAAACTACCCATTTGCTATGTACAATTCTAGCTGTAGCGCACTTCAGCTATGCATTCACCACTGCGAAAATGTCAAAGGAAATCGACAAGCCCAGCGTGCATGAAGGCAGGCCCGCCACAAGGGGGGGATACTGGGTCCCTGGTACCGAGTCCAGGTCCCGGAGGGGCCCGTGTTACCCGTGATAAACCACTACGAATTCACATGGAACCCTTGTTTCGTAAGAAAAAGTGAAAAATTTACCCTAAAAATTTCGCAAAAGGTGAATAGATTTTCAGAAACACGCTGGGGCACTGTAGAATTCTTCTTAAATTTTCAAAGAAGTATACTTCTTGGAAAATTTCTATCTATTTTCACAGAGGGATATTTTTAGTAACTGCGTTTCATTTTCTTCCGTCGTCAGATGCTGAGAGTCTCCAGTCTGGGCATCTTCGACTTCAATGGCTCATGGCTTGACTCCCTTGCCATAGACAAACGAAGGGGGAGTCCAGGGGGGCCTGGCCCTCTTAGAACTGAAAATAGTATCATATGCCCCCCCCCCCCCCCCCAAAAGAATAATAATTTTCCAGATGTTTTGAATGCAACAATTCGCAAATATTTTGTGCTGAAAGTATTAAAAAAAAAAAGAAAAAAAAATATAATTATTCCGCAGAAATTGATAGAAAAATTCTTTATGGAAGCTTCAAAATGCGTCCAATTAGTCGTATAAATTCTAAAATTTCTGGGAGGATGCCCCTCGGACCCCCCCCCCCCCCCCCCNCCCCCCCCCTCTGTGCTTGGGGCCCGGATCTTAAAACTGGTACCAGGGCCCGAGATGGGATGTGGCGGGCCTGGTCACGCGATGTGAGGAGTTATTTTGGCGCTCTTCACAATGTGGAATGTACTTTGAATATTCCTTCTGTTTACTAGTAAAACAAAGAAGAATATTTGTTTCAGCAACCAAAATAGCTTTCACCCTCTGTCCTAACTTATTCAAGGCAAGAATTCAAGGAGTTAAATAAAGAGTCAGACTCAGTACGTTCAAAGTATTTCGACTGTGTGTATTGAGGAATGACAGGATTTATATGATACAGATAATACCTACAAAATAAAATTACCTTTACATTTTTACAGAAATTTTCTCATCCTAATGAATAATTAAAAGGAAAAACAGGCGGCGGAATGAGACAGGACTGATAATAGGATTTTAAGTTGAGTAATTTAAGTATATGGGAACATTTTGGCTATCGTGCATTTGGGAACAAGATACGTGAACAATCTTTTAGTGTGATTTTAATGCCATGTTGCCAAACACAGGCCTCTGGAAATAACATTCATAGGTATGCATGGAGATATGATAATCTTGGAACGGCGAAAAATCGGACATGACTCGGTTAGAAAAATAAGTCATTAGTTAAATGTGGTAGGTAGTTCGTCTGTCATTTGATGGATGCCTGCCATTCCTAATATATTAGAGCGCCTTCAGTTTCGCATGATACTGTGCAATACCTCTGGTGTGAAATAGTTGCTTCAAGCGCCGTGGATGGCACGCTGCGGCGCGACAGGCGGGCAGCCAGCTCGAAACGCGAATTGGCGCCTACAAACCTAACAGGAATACTTCACGCGTTGCGCAATGCGGGAAGTATCCCTATTAGGTTTGTAGGCGCTTACAATAATTACAATATTTACAAAACTTACATTATATTTTCCTTTAATACATATTTTTTTTCCTCACTTAAAATGAGAATAATCCATACAGGATGTGCAAACATTTCAAAATCATGAGTTGAATAACGCTGACTCCGCCAGATTAAATATTAGAGCCTAACACAAAGCGGAGCGGCGACGCACTGGCGCCTACAAACCTAACAGGGATACTTCCCGCATTGCGCAACGCGTGAAGTATTCCTGTTAGGTTTGTAGGCGCCAATGCGCGTTTCGAGCTGGCTGCCCGCCTGCCGCGCCGCAGCGTGCCACCCACGGCGCGGCGCTTGAAGCAACTATTTCACACCAGAGGTATTGCACAGTTTCATACGAAACTGAAGGCGCTCTAATATATTAGGAATGGCAGGCATCCATCAAAAGTACGGAGCTTTCCTCGCAAAATAAATCAAGATACTACGGCACGAAAAGAGAAGACGAAACACAAAAAAAGATACACTCAGTCCAATAATTCGTGGCTCGAGCCGACTTTCCAAAATCTGCCTGAGTTTTATTTTGCAAAAAACTGCTCCCGAAGAGACATATCTTGCCCAAAAAAACCAGAGCTGCAATTCTCCAGACAAACACAATACTGGAAAGCTATCCATTTGGCGACACCCTTGCATAGCCTTACGACCAATTCCTTGTAGTACTACTAAAGTTCGCACCGTTGCAGTCACCGAGACTATACGGTTTCTCCGTACCGAACCCTAATTCCTACCTTTACTCTCATACTAATGTTTCATACTATTACAGCGACCCAAACACTGAGTCCGTCAATTACACCGCAAAGTTTACTAAAAGTTCACACGTCAATGGTAACTTTACCTGCAGGCGCTCTCACTTTGACCACGGTCGCCAAATCTCAAATATCGCTAATATAAAAGGGGTCAAACTGAGCGTTTATTCCTTTTCTCGGGGGAGGGGGTGGGGGGGGTAGACCTGCATTACGGGTGCGTTACGGGGGAAGGGATAAGGACAAAAAGTCCGATTATTAGCTATACGCATTTTATGAATGGCCTCTAAGCGCCATGATAAAAATTATCATCCTAAAAATAGGATGAAAATTAAGAGACAAATCCAGCAAGGAGCCGTCCTTAAAGTAGGTAATTTACTTTTTTGGCATTTTTCACATCCTTCTTGTGAGAATGTTGTGACGTAGGCCCCCGTCCTTTAAAACGTAAAAATGGAAAAGCGTAACGCTCTCTTCGTCCACCTCCCCCTCTCCCTCCCCCCTCCCCAAGGGCGTTACGGCGTTAAGTAGGAACGGCGCCTAAGAAGTTCATGGCGCAAGGGCCAAGCCGTATAGGTTCTTTTACCGAGAGGAACATTACCTATTCACAATCTGAACATCTGATAGCGCTGAGCATGTTTTCGATTTCCAATCTTCAGAAGTCAAGTGCATTTCAGAAGTTTGTGCTAGACACGACTACGACGGTTTGATTAGATATGCTCTTGTATCCAGGATCGTGCTTATGCATCAAAGCTGCTTGCAAGCATACCGCGACTCCTCTAAATATCAGTCGGTCAGCGAAACTGTCCCTCTCCTCATCGATTTAAGCTCAGTTCTATCATCATTTGGTCAACGAAACTGTTCCTCATCGATTTAAGCTCAATTATACCATCACGTCAGCGTGTTACTGTCACGATCATATCTGAAGTAGAGTGGGGATTTTGAATACACGAGCACGCGGAATGTTCTATAAAACGATGGTGAGTCATTCAAATGAAGCTCATTCTCCTCCTTTCTATTTTTTAGTATTTTTGTCGCAAAAATGCGCCTGTCTTCTCTTAAAGTTCTTCTCGCCTCCATTAATTATGTTTTTACATCACGTTAATCTTGTAATTTCTCTAATGCTCGTGATATATCTGCGTTCGTTTACATGTCTGTGCATAGTGTACTCCGAGAAAAAAAAAAAAAAACACAGTTATTCTACGGTTATCATAGTAGTAATGTCACACAGGATGCCACGGTAGTAGAACCGTGGACTTCGGTAAGATTATTGATGAACATAGTAGCATAACCATAGCATTATTATTGTGCTCACAGAAATATTATGGTGGACACGGTGACATCCCCGTACTCATCATTACAATTATCAAAACCTACGGTTGACTTTACCTACTGCCGTGGTAACCGTAGAATGACCGTGTTTTTTTTTTTCTCCGTGTAAGTTAAAAGTATCGTCTACAAAATTCCAACAGTGTAAAGTACGTACAATGTTATTGCCAAAGTCCGGAAAAAAATAGGTACACCAACGAAATCAAACGATGAAAACATGAATATTTTTGCTATAAGGAACGAATTTTACTGGCTCATTTCGGATCAGCGTGTTTGTCTTTAGCTTTTCTACATAGCAAAAATACTGTAAGAGGAAGTATCTATGCAAGGAAGCAAGAAGAATAAGAATAGGAAAATGTTCGATAAGACGAGGGAAAACCAGTGTCACACATAATAGACTAACTCTCAAAATTGATCTTTAGGACGCTGAATACCTAGTTTCCCGGCAAAATTTCACGTCATGTTTGACGATACCATTATTTTCTCATAGTAGCAAACGTCGAAGAAATATGCTTAACGTAATATTGTACAAATAAAGAAAAATTGTACACATTTAACATGAGATTCCGTGTTGAAAATACAATGCAGGTGTGTAAAAAGTAAAAATAATAAAAAATTATGACACATAGGGCACAGTTTGCGGACGGGGAAAACAATTTGCTCAGTCCGTGGGCTGGACAATTTTCGCGCCACCAACAGGTATAGTTTTCCGGACGGCAGCTTTCTTATCAACGTGCCGGCGCACAGTGGATCGAGTCAATAGGAGAGGTCGGACAAAATTTGGAAACTTTAGACGCCTATAACTCCGTTTATACAAAACTTTGAGGCTCTAAAAGTGGTTCCATTGGTTTCCTCGTGAAATTTACTTCAAGAAACACCCCTTAAAATTTAAAATGTGACGAAATAAACATCAAAATTTGTAGTCTTAGTCAAAAATTTCGTGTCCGGGCTGTCTGATTGACTCGATCCACTGTACGGCGCGACGCGACGCGTGGGGAACTCGCGAGAGTCGCGGAGACACGGGCGCAGTTTGATCGGCGATGGCGCAACCGCCGTACTTAAAGTAAATTTCACGAGGAAACCAATGGAACCACTTTTAGAACCTCAAAGTTTTGTATAAACGGAGTTACAAGCGTTGAAAATTATCAAATTTTGTCCGACCTCTCCTACTGACTCGATCCATTTTGCGTCGCGCTGCACTGGAAGGAAAAACACATTGGATCTAGAGTCCAGACTCTTGAAAACATTGACAAGAAAGAATACTCTCGATTCAATCGCTTAAATTAAGAGGCTTGGTTCTTGATTTAAGCAAAAATCCGATTGAATCAAGAGTATTTTTTCTTGTCGATGTTTTTAAGAGTCTGGACTCTAGATCCAATGTGTTTTTTTTCTAGTGCGTGGCGACAAGACGCCCAGGCAATGACCTGGGTTGCGCTCATAGCTCGGCCCAGGTGAACTTCCGCCAATTTTACGCGCAGCTAAATTGGAATCAATTCGACTGATTCTCCCTAGGGACTGTTGGTCAAGAGCTCAGGGATTCGAGTTCATCCAGCAGGCCGATTATTGAAACTGATAGACAAAGCTATAGACAAAGACGAAAAAGGGATTTGGAGGGATCCTATTGGTGGAAGCCGTGGAAGCGGGTGGTGGCAATGGACATAGGAGGTAGGTAATGGACTAACTAACGGCAATCCACCAAAGACCCGACGGTTAGTCCATCATTTTCTTCCTTAGTCTATAAGAACCAACCATGTCAACCAATAGGATCGCTCTATACTCCCTGTGTCTTCTTTTTCTATCGCTTTGTCTATCAGTTTCAATAATCGGCCCGCTCAGGTGGCGACGAGAAAGGTCCGAGGGTCCGAGGGCCTTGCTGGTAGATAATTCCCGCGGTTGAGGTTGGATTGGTGCAACTTGGCGTGGAATAGCTTCGTGGACAACGGGTGTGTGGGGTGTGTGGGCCATAGAGTTCACGGTGGCTGCTGATGGAAGAAGTGCGTCCTTTTTCTAAGTTCGAGCGAGGAGGGAAACTGCTTGAGTTTCAGCTCCGATGGTGGAAGTGCGCTGCTTGTTGTCTTTGGCTTTTGATCGAGACTTACAATGGACCAGTAGACAGGATACGAATTTAAGAATTCTAATACATGTTTCTTTACCAAAATTTCACGTAGAACACGATTCGCGCAACGAAAATTACTTAAACCAACTCCAAACTAAGATATTAACCTTTTTATTTCACATTGGTTACGAGGAATTTGAACGGCCCGCTCACAAGAAACTCAAAGCTCTACGTGAGTCAAATCGCCCACTACAATGGTTTCAGCAAGCTTCTCAATCGAGCAATGTTCATTTCCCACCATGTGTTGTTCAAACTATAAGCAATTCGCTATAGCTGAGCCAAAGCGTCAAGATTTCGGTTGCCAGATTTTAATATCGCTGAGACGTTCATGATAACGTTTAGCGCGCGATGTGAATTACGTAGAGCATTGAGTTTTCATGAGCGGGTGGTTTCAATTCACGCATCAAGAATCATTGAATATCTTCGTAAGGAGTTAATTTCGGTAATTTTCGTTGTGCGTACCGTGTTTTACGTGAAATTTTGGTTAAGAAACATGTATCAGAATGCTGAAATTCGTACCTTGTCTAGTGGTCCATTATAGCCACGCGAAGCACTTCTGGTGGTCGTCTGGCGCTGCTGGCCGAGGAGCGCTTGGATGTTGCTCAGATGTTCTTCAAGCCTTTGACGGTCCCTAGCCGAGAGAGAGAGGTTCCCTTTGGGTTTCGGTGGAGGTTAACGTGTTTCTTGAGTCCCTGCGGGTGTTTGGGCGAAGTCAAAATATTTTACCAACTCTAGAGTTCCTTTGGTATTCTCCGATTTTGAACTTTTTCCAAAATTCTCTGTCTAAGGCGGGCACAATTCTTTAAGTCCGGTATATCCTCGTCCGAGTCCATGGCGAGAGCTGGAACATAAAAACAAGTTGAGAAAAGGCATCTAACTTGATCAGATACTATTTAAAAGATTGAATAAGTCTGAGGAAGCATAAGTCTGAAAATGAAAACATTTTTTTTTTTTGATTTCCGACCAGCAGGGCCGGATTTCGGGGGTGGCCACATGGGCCGCGGCTCATGGCGGCAAATTTAGGGGGCGGCAAATGCTGCAATTTTTCAAATGTTGGTATCAAAAAAAAAAAAAAAAGAAATTGGATTCAGAAAAAAAATTAAGATCGAGAAAAGGCGACAAAACATGTACCTAAACTGTTGATTCATGCTATCATCCTTAAAAAATTTTCAACAACACTCCTTAAGTGCAATGCAAAAAAAAAAAAAAAAAAAAAAAAAAAAAAAAAAAAAAAAAACTCCACTTATCTTCAGCTTTTCAAGAAAGAAACGAATCTCATATTATATGAGTGCGTCGAGCGGAAAAACAAAACTCAGCGAATGCCTGGTGCATACTAGTGCTGAGCGATCCTTCTGCGCGTTACTTCCTTCATGATCGCAGAATCGTGTTAAATCATTTTCCTCCCTCGAAATACGAATTTAGCGTATTTTTAAACTGAACTTCGTTGCTAATTAGTGGATTTGATGACTCGAACATGCGCTCATTAGTTTTTCTGCGTAATTTTACGTAAGAGTCAACACTCCATTTTGCTCTAGCAAAATTTGATACTGCCCCTTTCTGTTACTTAGACGGAATGAATGCGGTTCCTTATTTTTCCTTAAATCTAATGTTGACATTATTTCATGCTCTGCTGGAGAATTCTAAATGAAGCTGATTAGGATTATTGAAGGGTGGAATGAATACTCACTTGCGCGAGGGTTTTGACACGAGTGTCCCAAAACTCGTCGGTGAGATGATCTGGGGGATACTTGGGGGAGAGTGTTCAGTAGAGTGCAGCTTATTTGCGTGCTGAAAAAAAAGTTTGAAAATTTCAGCTCCCCGGTTTCAAATAGGTGTCATGAAAAAAAAAAAATCCTGGAAAGTTCATAACCGATCGGATTCTTTTTCTTCATGCTTTCTTTTTTTTTCTCACAAAAATCTTAAGTTGTCAATATTTACCGTTGAATAACCGTACTTCTAATATAAGAATAGTTTTTTTCTGCAAGAATAGCGCGCCGTAACAAAAAAATAAGTTTACATGAGAATCATCCTTGAAGTATAATTGTTTTCCCAAAAATATCACTAATTAAATGCATTCATTGGAGTGAATTTCCTCCAAAGCTGGAAATAATTGTACTTTCTCTCCAATAGAACACGCCAAAAAAGTTTTCCCTAGTTTAAATTTTTTGTGCCAGTATTTGAAATGAATGAGGTGAAAATCGCTAAACAATTAAATGAGAAATAGAGTTGCTCAGTTTTTTAAAAAAGCAAAATATACATAAAACACGAGTGGAGATGTGCACAGTTTCAATCGAATATAAATAGGTTTCCTTATTTGCGTTCGGCCATCGATATTTGATATCATTCGAGGAAGGCGTTTGTGAGGTAACTATTCGACCACGGGTGATGCCCGTATTGCCGCTGGGTTGAATTGAAGGCGCGTCACACCGCGACGATGAAGCGATCGTGGTGTGCCCAGTGTTGGGTGGCGCGGCGCTAATAGCGACGCTAAACTGGGACCACGCCTCATAATTATTCTCGACTGGTATTTTCTTACTTTTTTACTTTTCCACTTTGAAATTTTCAGGATTTTCTGTCATCTTATCAGATTCATATGATTTTTGAAAGTGGCATGCGAGAATTCAGCTGAATCACCGTCATTTTTTTACAGTCGGTTTGGATCGTTATTGTTTTGTGGTCATTTCACGAGAAGGACAGCTTTGTACTCGCTTCTGATCGACCTATAGTAGGCGTGGTGTCACTTGAGCTTACGGGTATCCTGAAAACCAAGTTTCCCCTCCATGACGCGTATATTGCCGCATCCTACGTGAAAGCCATCGAAAGCTCTGGAGGACGAGTTGTGCCCGTTAAAATCGGACAGAGCGAGGAGTATTACAGGTCAGTGCCATCAAAGCGTAATTATTGATACGGCCAAAAGTTGTGAGTTACTTTAACAAGTTAATGGTTTATAATCATAATTGGAGTCCTTACATTTGCTGTAAATCACCACAGATCTCAAGTGTCATATTTGGACGGAAAAATCGCGATATTTTGAAATTAAGTTGCGATTTTTTTACGATTTTTTGGCGATAAACTCGCTAATATTATCAACATCTGAGCGATTATCTTCGATCTTGGCGCAGTTTTATCTCTGTATCGAATTTTATCTCAATCTATAACGATTCTTTGTTCGATAATATTGCGATAAATCAGCGTCGGAAAAATCGCTATTTTATTGCAAATTTATGTGATGAAATCGAAATTTTTTATCCGATAGTACTGCAATGAATCGATGGCAGTGAAACCGCGATGCATTCTCCGATCAAATCGCAACTTATCTAAATTACTGCTACTTGGGGCGTAGTACTTGGAAGTTCTATTTCTTATTTGTCCATGAGTCAACTGGAGGGAAAACAAATTGTTCCAAAGAAAGTCCGGACTGCGATTATATGATCCTGAACGTCCATTCAAAGACTATTATTCATTTTGAAAATCATCCATAGATTAAACCCTGGAAAGTATAAAGTATGCTTGTCTGTTTTTTTCAACCCTAAGAAAGCTAAGTGAGAGTAGACAGAAAGTTGGTACAATTTGCGTTACAATTCAGTAAACTGAAGAAAGTGATATCATTTCATCCGGACTCTTCTCTCGGTGACCTACTTTTACTCATCCCTTTTTCTATTTTTTCCAAAACAATGTAAGGAGGATGTTCAATTCTATAAATGGATTGCTGATACCAGGAGGCAATACTTTTTTTAACGGCACGGACAATTTCTTCACTGCCAGTAGGCTCCTCATCCAGCTAGCAATGCAGGTAATTTTCAAACTGACGTGTAGTCTCTAATAATTGGAGAACTGGGTGCAAAAAGGGCACTTCTTGGTTGCAGTGTCTCAAAATCTCCGTCATCGTTCATCCACTATGATTATGCATGTAATTGTAGTAACTTTTACTGAATATTGTTTATGATTTTGCAATGCTGAAAACGTAAAATTTCAGAAGATTCAACCAATAATTTCCTCTCTAAAACAAAAATTAGCACTGAAGATTCTGAAACAGTAAAACTAAGAAATGCCCTTTCTGCACCCAACGCCTCATTAATGCTTATGTTTTATGGCCAAACGAAATGATAGGTAATGAGTAAATTGAGTATCCACAGAATTCGTTTTCTTCATTTACTTTATTCTCACGGACATTATCAAATTGAAGATGTAGTATTTTGATTTTTTATAATCAATTCTTATGAACAGGCAGGGCCGGATTAAGGGGGTGGCCACATGGGCCGCGGCCTATGGCGGCAAATCTAGGGGGCGGCAAATTTTGGGCGCGACCTAGGGAGAAATGATGACGAGGACTTGAGATGAAAAGGAGAAGCCCTCGGCGCGGCAATCGGCATGCAACACTTATTAGCGCCTACAAGACTGCACGAATACTTTACACATTACATAAAACACAGTGTGGTTATTGTGGTCAGCGTGAAACGGATAGCGCCTACAAGAATGCATGAATATTCACTTCACGCATCGCACCAAACACAGTGCGGTCAGCGTGAAACACATAGCGCTTACAACACTGCGTGAAAACTTCACGCATTGCGCCAAACACGGTGCGGCGCAGCGGCGGAAGTTGAACTCATTAAACCAAATTTTGTGTTTGTCCTTTCATAATTTTTTCATTCATTTCTTATGAATGGAAGGTTTTGTCCATTAGAGATAGGTTTACGAAACTTGACTTTTGCGCAAAGTTCCGTGACCTTTTGCTAGTAGTGTTGATAGGGCTTTCCCAAAAAATGTGTTCAACACGAGTAAACGCGTCTTATGCACCCCTCCCCCACTGGCACGTTCACTTGATGGTTTTTATTGATGTTTCAAAGCGAATGAGAAGGGGGCGGCAAAATACAGGCGGCCCATGGGCGGCAAGGAGGAAAATCCGGCCCTGTGAACAGCCAGATGGATTCTTGTACGTTCACTTTTTGAGTTTTATAATTATCCGTTTTCCTTTCTTTCGGACCGCCGCGATGAGTGAAGTATAAAAGTAAGTTACACTTTTAAAGAGAGAGTCGGGAATATATCGACCTTCCGCCGTTGCTGTTAGAAAATCTCTTTTCATCCCTCTCTAAACGTATACCACGTTCACTTCTTTTCAATAGATTATCAAACAGCTAATTTATTAATAATTTATATGTTTACCAGGCCAACGATCGTATGCATTTTCCGATTTTAGCAATTTGTTTGGGATTTGAGCTTCTGGTGCATCTTGCTAATAACGAACAAGAAATTCGCAAGCGATGCGATGGTTTGATAGATGTGAATGTTCCTCTGCATTTCACGAAAAAATCTAAAAGCTCCTCTCTCTTCCGAAATGCGCCCAGACGGATTACAAGTACCCTTAGAAGCAACGTACCATATAATTATCACATGTAATGAAGGACAATATTGATTACTTTCTACATTTTTTTACGCTTTGCTCCTGTGCCTTAACGCAAGTGTGCCTCCTGCATTTAGAATTTCCCATTCAAGTAATTTTTTCGATTGGAAATTATTCTTGGTTTTCTACTTTTTCGACGAAGATCCTTTCATTTCACGACAGTAATTTGCATCCCTGGTGAAAATTGGCAGTAGAATCTGTGTCCCAAAATACCATAGACCTAAAGCCGGCTGTAAGATTTCCAATAGCTTCTGTAGCCAGTTGTACAATTTCTTATAGCCTTTTATAGACGATGGCGATTAAGCAACAGCCAGACGATAAAGTTTATGCTAAACGTTACTAAATACGGAAACTAGGACTTAGTTAGTTTTTGGACTCCCGCTCTCTTTTTGTGCCGTAGTATCTTGATTTATTTTGCGAAGAAAGCTCCGTACTTTTGAAGGATGCCTGTCTTTCTTAATATGTTGGAGCGCCTTCAATTTCTTATGATACTGTGCAATACCTCTGGTGTGAAATAGTTGCTTCAGACGCCGTGGCACGCTGCGGCGCGGCGGGCGGGCAGAGAGCGCGAAACGCGCATTGGCGCCTGCAAACCTAACAGGGATACTTCACGCATTGCGCAATGCGTGAAGTATCCCTGTTAGGTTTGTAGGCGCCAGTGCGTCGCCGATCCGCTTTGTGTTAGGTTCCAATATTCAATCTCGCAGAGTCGGCGTTTTTCAACTCATAATTTTGAAATGTTTGCACACTCTGTATGGATTATTCTCATTTTAATTGATGAAAAAAAATATGTTTTAAAGGAAATTATAATGTATGTTTTGTAAATATTGTAATTATTGTAATTCCGTATCAAACTTAATGATTTCCAAAGCACACAAATTTCTACGCAATTTCTTATAGCCTTTTATAGCCAATGGCGATAAAGTGTAAAGCCCGGCGATAGGAACTATAGCCCGACTGTATACTTTTTTATAGCTTCGTATAGCCCGGCTATATGATTTGCTCTGCTTTCTACAGCCAGCTATATGATTTTCAATAGCCCTCTTTAGTCGGCTATAAGAACTCTTATGGTATTTTGAAACGCAGCTCCTATCGCCAATTTTTACCAGGGATACCGGGCTGTCAATATTTTCCTTTTTCTTATTTTTTTCTTTGAAAAACTATTTATGAACTCATCTGTCTTCTAATCGGATTGCATTTTGCAAAAAGGAACCAAGAGCATTCCAATGATGCTAGAATATTGCAACTTACATCCTTCGTAACAAAACGAGTGAAGTAATGCAAAAAATCAAATTTACAAAGGTAATTTTCGTCTTGAATTCATAGTTTATTGAGAGTAAAGATAAAAACTCGTATAGATGATCAGTTCATATTTGGAAGGTAAAGAAAGTTGCACAATCTTAGCGATAATGTAATGTAATGCCTTCTGGTTTCTCTTTGCAAAATAAAATCCAATTACACAGACAAAATGACGGGATCGCTCAGGAAAAATTAATCTCTTCTCTTCCTTAAACGCTGAGATATATCGATGGTTAAATCACCAGACCACTTATCTCGTATTTGCGCTGTTTAATAATCACCGCTCTCATTTTATTTTTTTGAAGGAGACCGAATCAATATCATTCCTTGAAATTTTTGCAGAGGTTTCTCCGCACGGAGAGGAAAAATCGCGGAGGGTTTCAAGAATTGACGTTGAGTAGTTTTCCATTTAAAAAATAAAGTATGACAGGAAGTCTGCGACGGCGCAAACCGAGATACGTGGTTTGGTAGTTTAACCGTCGACATTTATTTTTGCTGCTAAAAATTCCATGTATCAATTCTGTACCAAGAAAATCATTCTATCCTTTACAGACCAACGATAAATGAGAAACTAGTACGTAAACTAACTTTATTAAGTAGCACGCTTTGTGTCTGGTTACAGATGGTGTATTTACTCGGAGGACTTCAAGAACTCTCAAAGTAATGTTGACTGGAAGATCCTCACTACTAGTTTCGACCAATTACGGTCTCCGTTCGTATCCACTATAGAGCACAAGAAGTTTCCGATCGTGGGTGTCCAGTTTCATCCCGAGAAGCACGCTTATGAGTGGAGAGAGAACAAACACTATCTCCATACTCCAGAGGCAATTGAAGCCGGAAGATATTTTTTTAATTGGCTCGTCGAGCAATCCAAATTGAACGATCAGTCTTTTGTTTCGTATCATGATGAGTTGCGATCACTAATTTTTAACTACCATCCAACTTTTTCAGGGGCATACAATTTGAGCTACACGGAGATGTACTTGTTCAAGACGGAGGGTTCAGGGGAAGTGCCACCATATTTTTTGACTCCCTAATTAAACTAAAATAGGCTTCGACTATCTATTGCTACTATCATTATAGTTCAAACGTCTTTCTAGTCATCCCTGTTTTAGATGTGTAGACTTTATATCATTATCAAAAACTCAAGCATTCTTCTTTTTAAAAAAATAACCAATACCTGACGCAGAGAGGTTTTTTTTATCCTTGGTAATTAGTTTCTTTTTGGTCGCATACGTTTTTTTGGCACTTCCTCCTATTCAAAAATATGTGCACGGGGTTCGTTCCTCAGGAGAGTGTACTGAGACCACTGGTCCAGTAACATCTATCCACTTGCGTATGCGTATACCAGTCAAGTCAATCCAGGTACTGACTTGGGAACGTATGCAGACAGACCTGAAAGACCTGAGGTGGCACCGTCTTGTAATCTCTAAAAGGATGGTTGGTCGGAAGCCAGTCTTCCTAGGCACAAAACTGAAGCTATAACACCTTGTGATTGATCCAGATATCTGGGTACAACTCTCGATAAAAAGCTCAAGTAAGGGGCTCACATAAAGTCTGAGGCTCTGAGCTAAAGAAATTAAAGCAAAATGTGAAAAAAAAATGTACTTGCTAATTGGACGTCAATCTTTACTCTCAGTTGACAATAAGATCTGTTTTATAAATGGATGTTTAGACTTTTTTGGAGCTATGCCAGCATGTTTTGGGGATGTGCGGCAGATAGCCACATCAAACACATCCAAACTTGCCAGAGTAATGTGACTAAACAGTTGTTTAATGCCAAGTGGTATGTCAGACATTCTGACGTACACAAGATTTTAGGTATCGTGTCAATGAAGGAACACATTCGGGATCTAAATGAAAAATTATGAGCGTCGTTTAGTTTTCCACTCCAATATCGGAACAATCGCCCTCCTTGGCAACTTCTAGGTTCTGCATGCGTTAGACTTAAGAGACGTATCGACGGTGAAACTACCAACCCACGTATCTCGGTTTGCGACGTCGCAGACTTCCTATCATACTTTATTTTTTAAATAAAAAACTACTTAACGTCCAGTCCTGAAAATTTCTGTGATTTTTCCTCTTCGTGCGGAGAAAGTTCTGTGAAAATTTCAAGGAATAATATTGATTCGGTCTACTTCAAAAAAATAAAATGTGAGCGTAGACTTTTAAACACCGCAAACGAGATACGTGGTTTGGCAGTTTCACCGTCGGTATGCGTAAGCCTTTTTATTTCCTGTATGCACTTGTTTTATCTCATATTTATGTCGCTATGTGCACAGTTTTTGACATGTCATTTCGTAAAATTTTTCTTAATTTAGGTTAAGTAATTGCTTGGAGAATTTAGTCTTAGAACTATGCTTAAGTTACTTAGTTTAAGTTTAGTTGGCCTTCTATCCGCCATGAGTAGGGACCGGTAACATTGTTTTTAGCTTTTGTTTATTTTAGATTTTTCAATTCTCTTTGACGTTCGATAACTACCGGGAGACCGGTCGAAACGTTCCGTGATTTGTAATGAATGTGATTTTTTTCAGCCTCGTATTCGCTTTATCCAGTCTATTTTAAGTGTAGATATAGTGCCAAACACATTGGAATGCCTTTGGCTGGCTATACTTTCAAATAAGTCAAACAATCGATGACACATCGAGCTACAAAAAAAAAAAAAAAAAAAAAAAAAAAAAAAAAAAAAAAACAAGAGATACAATGTATTAAATTACATGATGCTACATTATGTAGCATCATGTAATTTAATACACGTACGTAATTTAATACATTGCATCTCTTGTTTTTTTTGGTTTGTAGCTCGATATACCCCCGTCTTTTGCCCTTTATACAGTGTTTTTTTTTTACATACAAACATATGCCCAATAAATAATGTTAAAAAATAAATAATAAAAAAAATCTTGCTCTACATGACTTTCAAATGAGAGATGCAAGAGTAAACACTCTTTTCCTTGATTATTTGATTTCGGCCGAATGAAGGAAGAGAAGCAGGCTCTTCACTGTTGAACTAAGAAATGGGAGTTCCCATGAGTTCGAAGATGATTAACGGGGTCACCGTAAAAATGAAGACTCTTGAAAGCTTCACACGGGCCGAGAGTTGCAGTCGGCGACGCGACGCGACGCGACGCCACGCGACGCCACGCGACGCCACGCGACGCCACGCGACGCCACGCGACGCCACGCGACGCCACGCCACGCTCGGATCCCTATTCCAGCCATCCATCCATTCACTCATCGCATAAGTTACGTAAAAGTAGAAAAAAGTCATAACAAGATGCAGGAGCTTACACGATGCAACGATAGCGCCGAGCGGAGGCGAAGAAAACCGAGGGGTTCATATCAGAACCCTGCCTTGCTCAAGATGCAGGATTTCGCGGCGAAATTATTCGCGAGGAATTTCCTCAGTTGGATTACGTTTTGCAATAAGGAACCGCTATTTCTGGCCTATTCTAGAAACAACGTACATGTCATTGGTTTCCCTATGCAGATATGTGCTTTTATGGAAGCGCCAGAGACAGAGGCTCCTTATTACAAAATGTAATCCAATCGAGGGGGCCGATAAAAAATCATCGCGATCCGTCACGTGATGATTTAAAAAAAATTGCTGACCTAAATATTGCGCACCAGCTTACAAAGATGTGGCAGACTATCGATGTCGTTTTTAGATGGCGAAGGGGGGGGGCAGGGGTTTTTCGAGGAAGGGGTTTCTGAAGTGTCGATGCAGCAAATGCACTATATTCCATCTATGTGTTGAATAACGTAGTAAACGGCACTATATGAAAAATCACTCGAAATAGCAATGAGTCTTACAACTGTGGGAGAGCAAAGCGTTGAAATTAGTTTTTAAGATAGCGGTTTTGGAAGGATAACCCTTGAATTCCGTTGAATGAACACGGTGTGCACTTTATTCACTATGCCGAATTGCAAGAGATGGAAATTCTGCACTCGGTAAAATATGACTTGAGCAGAGCTTAAAGAGAGACATATAGTCGTAGAGGATGGTCAACTCGAAGTAAGTTTTCTCGCTGACACCCCAGGGCACGTAGGGCCAGAAAAGCTACTTTCAGGCTCTATTATTTCAGACGTCCGGTGCACGGATAAAAAACATATTAAATAAATGTGATGGTGCGTCTGATTGCATAAAAGCATCGGCTTAAGGCCTGAAATGCTTGACATGGAGAAACAAGAAGAGAGACAGAAGAAAAGAGTGGGAAAAGGATAGACGAAAAATCTGTCTCGGGGCAAACTTAGGAAAAACGTTGCGGACTCAATACAAGGCTACCTAAGAAGAAATGTTCAAATTCAAAACACGTTTCCCCCAAATTGCAAATGTCACTTGTCACGATCATTCATCAGAAAGCTGCAGCCAGGCGCAGGGTCGGACTGGCTCGCATCTGAGGGCGTAGACCCTTGGCTGGTTGAAGGGGCGTAATGTGATATTAGTAGGGTGAAAATGGGGTGAAATGGGGGTTGAAATTTGTGCAAAAAAATTCGGATTTTCGGACTTGGAAAAATTTTCGGCTTCGAAAGACCGTCTCCTCCAGTATGGGTCTGGTAGCATTTGATAAGATAAAGTGGAGACGAGAGGCCAATGAAGTGTCGTTTTCCATATATTTCCATAGGAACCGTGTCAGTGCAGCGGTTTCCACGAGCTTAAGACGTGGGTCTAAAAATCCATCCTAAAAAAGAATAAGCCAAGAACCTGAAAAAAGAAGAAAGAACGAGTATATCAACACAGCCAACCACAAGGAAGACGCATTCGGGCCTATTTCTTAAATTTTCTCCCGAATCTGAACGACACCTCATTGGTAGCATATAGCAAAGCATTGAGAACTCACGCTTCACGTCATCGCGCCTTCAATTTTTCAGATGCAGCACGGACGTCCATCAAGTACGAATAGTTGTATCTCTGCGCCGTCGTTAACGCGCATCCTTTCCCTCGCTTTATTTCCATATTGTTTTTGTTTAAGTTTGTCTTATTCGTAATGGTACTTCAAGCACTACGTGAATAACACAGCCGAAGGTAGGAGAGATGTGTTCGAGCCTCTTTTTTAAATTTTCTCCCGAATCTGAACGACAACTCATTGGCAGCATATAGCAAAGCAGTGAGAACTCACGCTTCGCGTCATCGCGCCTTCAATTTTTCAGATGCAGCACGGACGTCCATCAAGTACGAATAGTTGTATCTCTGCGCCGTCGTTAACGCGCATCCTTTCCCTCGCTTTATTTCCATATTGTGTTTGTTTGCGTTTGTCTTATTTGTAATGTTGCTTTAAACAAGAGCAGAGCATTGCGATTTCACGACTCACGCCATTGCGTCTTACATTTTTCATATGCAATGTGGACATCCATCTTGCGAGAATAATTGTATCGCGTTTACACTTTAGATGTCTCTTACTTTTGAATTTCGAAATAAATTAAGGTTAAGTTTGCCCGAGTTATGCTATGATATGTCCAAATCAATAGTCATTTTGAAAAGGAAGAAATATGTTTAAAGGTCTCTCAAGAGATCTGTAAAGTGTGCGTAGTGTCTAAACATCGAACCGGCTATCGCTTCTACGGGAGTTACACATATTGAATGAAGGAGGGCGATGATAAAGCGCCTGTATGTCAACAAAAGGGTGACAATTTCACAGAAAAGTGTTTACGCTTCAAAAATTAGTTCTTGGACCTCTGTTCACCACTATGCGTAAAAGCACCTCTCTTCGCCTCTAACTCTCTCTTCTTCCGCTTATTTAAGAAATTTTCCGCATGTACTTTCGGTTGTATTTTTTTTTCTTTTCTTATTTTGCTATCTGTCAGAAGGGCGCGTTTTTGGCGCGCCAAGGGGGCGTATCTGCCAATGGCAGATCTGCCTAATGGCTTGTCCGAGCCTGAGTCAGAGGAAGCTACCGCAATGCCTCTCATTTAAGTCAGAACGAAGTTAGCAGGTTAACGTATCAATTAAATATTCCGATTCTCATCAACGGTCACGTATGGCTAATCATGAATATTACATAGCTTTGGGCAGATAAGTAGGTAGGTACTTGCATGGCTCAGACTCCTCTTACTCTTGCGTGACAATCGATCACGTTACGTACAAATGCCGGCAGCAGTCCTTTTATCCTCTGATCAGCCAGTTATAGTAGTCCAATATCGTTGGAATCTTTATAAGCGCATTATCCACCCATTAATAACGAATTAAAGTGGTTGGTATCACTTACTCGCGCCAATTGCTAGAAATGACTGGTTTTTCTTTATGGAGTCTAGCTTCATTAACTGTGTTTGGCGGTCTCATAAAGACATTTTATCATAATTTTAAGATGATATCAGTGATAGCAAGATGATTACCGGTGTAAATTGCTCTTAACTTCAGATTGCATTCATCGGATTTTAAATGCAAGCCACTACCTGAAAGCCTGCCTTCGACCCTTAAAAAGTGGCACTTGCAACGATCAGGGGCGCCATTTCAGGTTATTAGGGGGAGGGACGGGCAAAAAAGTGACGAAGTTTTTTTTTCCTGCTCGAAAACGGTAAACACGCGTCTTGCAGGCTCCGTCTGACACTTGTCCGCTTTTTCGTCCCCTTTTCCGTTGTGTTCAGCGGTTTGCCCGGCTTCGCCCCCCCCCCCCCATGGCATCCCTGCCCTGCTAAAAATGGTGAGTACAAATGAGTGGAAAATCAGAGTCATATGAATAGAATTTAACTCATTATGAGCAGAATATCTCAAAAC